GCGCGACGCACGCGCGACGCATGCGCGACGCAGTCTCGACCTTGCCCGCCCCTAGCTTCTCTCCGAACAGCAGTGCGCAGCGGACGTCGGCCCGCCGTGCTTGCTCTGTTCACGAGCGGCGGTGGCTGCGTCTTCACTTGCGCCAGGAAGGCCCGTGCTTCGCCCCTCTTCATTCCCTTCCTCCTTCCTCGTCGTCCCTCCTCCTTCGTCACTCCTCCTCCTTCGTCATCCCACTTGCCTCCTCTCCCCCTCTTTTCCCATTTTCATACTTGTTCCCCGCCTCCCTCTGCCCCCCCCTCCCCGCGCCTTTCTTGTCTTTGTTTTATTCCCCCATTGCCACCCCCCGCCCCTCTTCATGTTCGTTTTTCCCCTTCGCCCCCCCCATCCCCCCCGCGGCCGCGGCGCGGGGCCGCGAGAGGCGCCCCCGCCAGGCGCGAAAGTTGCCGCCGCCGGCGCTGGAAGAGGACGACCACGATGGGGGGGGGGGGGGCGGGAGGGGGGGCGCGAGGCGAGCGCGGCGGCGAGGGCGGCCCGGCAGGGGAAAGGGGGGGGGGGGACGCAGTGAGTGGGTGCTTTTGTGATGGGCATGCTGGTGATCACGGTCGCGATTGCAGTTATCGCCTTGGTCGTGATGGCGGTGGTCGCGCTGCTGGTGGTGGGCGGGCTGGTGGTGGTCGCGTTGATGATCGTGCTGCCGTCGGTCGTTGTGGTTGTCGCGAACAGCGCGGTGGTCATGGTGGTGGTGGCGGTAAAGGTGACAGTTGTGGCCGTTTGTGATGACCGTGGCGGTGGTAGTCATTGCGCTGGCGGTGGTCGCGGCGGCCGCAGTAGCGGCTGCGGGGACCTGCCCAGCGCCCGAGCGCCCGAGTGCGTTCAGCAGCGTCGCGGAGTTCTAATTTTAGAGGGATTTGCTGATCAGCCGAGGTAACCCAGCAGCCGCCTTCTCACCAAGGGGACCGCTGCGTGGGCGACTTTCTTGTTTCCCGCAGGCGACCGGCCTTGCTGGCGGCCGTGGAGCGGGCGACGCGCGCGCGATCCGCCCCATGGACGCCCGCCGCGCTAGCGACGCACTCGCCAAAATGCTCCCGCGCGAGGGCGACGCGCACGTTCGCGACGACGGTCTGTCTTTTCGGCGGCCGACGCACGGGCGGCGCGCGGGCGACGAACGCGCGACGCACCCTTTGTCGCGAAGGGGGGGTCAGCATGCCAGTCGTGTTTCTGGGCCTCAACGGCGCTGACGTCTGGTGCATGGTAGTTCGCGATGAACGACAAGCGCGCCGCTGGAGTGCGCCTTGCACGGCAAAGCGCGCTGCAGCCAGGCAGCCGTCGACACCTTGGGGACGGCGGACGCTTTGGTCGAGCTCGCGGCCGAAGGCGACGCGGGTTTCGGGCGCGAGCAGGCGATGCAGGCAGCAGTGGAAAAGGTAGCCTGGGCGCTGCGCAACATCGGCTGGCGGCGCGAGCAGGCGGGGGTCTGGGCGACGCAGCGGAGCGACCTGAGCAGCGGAGTCGGCGTGCGCGCGGGCCCGTGCAGATCCCGTTGATCCCAGTGGAGCGCGGCCCGGAGGGACCTGGGGAAGGTGGCGCGACGTGTCGGCGGTGCGAGAGGCGAGCCATCACTGCCAGCTCCAGGAATCACTTGGGTCGGAGCCCGTGCCGCCCGAAGCCGCGGATGCGCTTGGGCGTCCAGGTCGATGACGGCTGCGCCTCAGCGATGGGCAGGATATTGAACGTGAACGGCCAGGGCGGCATGACCCAGGGGGGCGAGGGCGCAGGTGGCGCGGGGGCGACAGGCGAGGGGCGCCGGGCGTTGGACGAGAAGGTGGCGCACCTCCTTCACCACCAACCAAACCGCCCCACCGAACCTGAAGGCTTCACTTTGCCTTTTATTTCCGGCGGGTGGGTGCGGGGCGCGCGCGCGCGGGGTGGGCGGGTGGGCGGGCGGGGGCGCGGGGGTGGAGGGGCGGGGGGTGGGGGGGCGGGGGGCGTGGAGAAAAACGCGCATGGAACCCATGCCCCCCCCCCAGCCGGGCGGGTTTTCGGGCTGGGCTGGGGTGGTTTGGTAGGTAGTCACTTCTGGAAGCGGCCGGGAGCAAGGGCAGCGGCGCCCTCGGCAACGAGCTGGGCGGTGCGCAGAGCGACGTCAGCGGAGGCGGAGAAGGTGGCGTCACGGACGCAGGCGTTGCGACGCAAAGTCCCGAGCCAGTCCGCGAGGGCGTTTGCTCGGGCTCCGTCGCCATGGGTTTTGCTAGAGCAGAAGAGATTGAGCGAGTCCTTGGGGGCGTCGCCTTGGTTTCAGTCGCTGCGCTTATTGCTGGCGCACCTCCCCAGATGTCCAGCGATGTGCTTTCCGCGGGCTGGGGCCAGGCGCGGCTTGGAGGGCATCTACCTGCGCCTGTCCCAGGACGAACGCGGAGTCTTGGGCAAGGCTGTCGCCCCAGATGGCCAGCCAAGTGCATTCCGTTGGGCTGGGGGCAGGTGCAGCACGGAGGGCGTCGGCTCGTGCTGGCCCCGTGACGAGGCCGAGGTTTGGGGCAGATGGCAGCCAGGCAACGAGGGCCACGGCCAGCCTGATCCACGACGAACCCTTGGACCCGGGCCGCGCCAGCGTGACGAGGTCCCCCCACCGCGGTGCCTGATCGGATGGCCAGCCAACGTGCGCACCAGGAGCGGCCAATCCAGTGGCCGTGGGAGGTGGGGCCGACGGCGTCTTCGGGGGGCGACGCGAGGACCCCCCCCCCCGGAATGTGGCGCAAGTGGCAAGGAAGCGCCGCCGTCAGTGGGGGGCCGTCAGGGGGCGACGCTCGTCGCGCAGGCGCGCGCGTGGAGCGTCGGCGCGCCGCGCGCCTTTTCGTTGTGAAGGCAGGCCGCTAGTTCCATCCGATTCGCCAGAGGTTGCAGCAGATGGCGGCCTGGCACCTCCTGGGCGCGGAGGGCGCGCGGCGAGAGGAGCGCGAGAGGCACGCGGCGAAATTGTCGGGGGCGGGGCTTGCGCGGCGCACTTCGAAGAGCTGGCGGACGAGTCAGCCGACCGAGACAGGAGGCGCAGGGCCTCCGAATAATGCCAGGCGGCATGGGGGGCGGGGGCCCAGGCGCGGACGGACAGACGGGGCCGTTTGCTGCACCTGGACGGGGCAGACCGCAGCAGGGCGCTCGAGAACGCGCAGGCGCGGGAGAGGGTCGCGAGGGTCTTCGCGGGCGGCCTGGGCGCGAGCAGCTGGCCAGAGGATGCGACGAGTTACGAGACGGCGCTGTTGGAGGCCTGGGCCAGGGGCGCGCCAAGGCCCCCCAGTCGGCGGGTAGCCAGCGCTTGCTCAGCAGGTCAGCAAGAGGAGGCGCAGCAGGCCGCGTCACTTGGGGCGGGCGCCGTGGAGGACATGCCAGAGGACATGCGCGAGGACGGGCGCGCCTCCTTCTGCACCAACTCCAGCGAGGCCCAGCCAGCAGCGGAGGAGGAGCAAGGCGAGGCCCCGGAGGCTGGGGGGGAGACAGGGGGCCGCCAGAGTGGGCGGGCCATGGGCTGAGCAGCGCAGTGTCGCCCAGCGAGAGCTTTGCGGGGGGCGGGCGGACCTCGGCCAGCGGCGGCCAGGGCAGGCGCGCGGTGTTGCCCGGGGTGGCCGAGGTCAACGCCCACTTCAGCGCCCCCCCCCCGACGTCGGCCCGGCTGGCGCGCTCGCGGGGTCCGCGGTAGGTTCGGCCCTTGCCATGGCAGCCGCAGCCGCAGCGCCGGCCAGCGCGCGCGCTGGCGGGCGAGACGACGTTGGGGAGGCAGCCCCAGAGCCGACGGTAGGAGAGGCGGGGGCGCAAGAGGCCAGCGGCGGCGCTGCGCGGCGCCAGCGGGGCTGGGACGCCCAGGCGGGCCCGCGCCAGGCAGTTGAGAAGTCGAGGCGAGGGCGCGGGCGCGAGTCGCGAGTCAGCGCCGGCAGGGTGGCCCGAGGGAAGGGGCAGCGAGCTGGAGGACGACCCCATCCAAGTGTCCCCTGAAGGTAGCGAGCTAGAGGACGACCCCATGCAGGCGCATCCAACGACGCGGTGCCAAGAGGCCCCCCTATGGGCGGGCGACGCGGAGAGCGGTGCGGGGGCGCCCGCTGGCATCAGCGGACAGAAGGCGCCAGCGCGCGCAGCCGAGCTGGCGGGTGCCGACAGCGCCGTGGACAAGCTCCTATCTGCGATGCAAGCCCACGGGTGCATCATCTGCGTGACATGCGGCGCGTGCAGCAGGATGAAGACGGACGGCTTGGACGGGCCCGCCCTGGGTGGCCAGCGAAACCGACGGCCATCGAGATGAAGCGCAAGCAGAGGGCGGCCAACATCCTGGCAGGCTTCATCCGACGACGCGGATGCCGCCCGACTGAGGGTGGCACCCGACGAGCGGTGAGAGAGCGGCGGCGATGAGCAAGGCGAGGGCCTGGCTCGGGTTTTAGTATCTTGGTAAAATTACGATCGCTGTGCACTGCCTGGCACTCAACGGAGCGGTGGCGGCTCGCTGTTGCCAGCACTGGTCCCAGTAGGTGCTCGTGGGTGGGCACCCGCGGGAGCCTACAGGCCGTGCGCGCTGTCGCAGCGAGGCGGGGTGTGTGTGTGGTCATTGCGGAACAGAAGTTTGCACATTTAGCTTTCGCCGCGCATCCTGCACCGCACAGCTTATACCACGTATCCTACACCACATGGCCTGTGCCGCATATCTTTCACCCCGTAGCTTGCGCCACACATTTTTGACCACGTAGCTTGTACCGCATAGCCTCCACTACATGGCTTGCACCACATGTCGTGCACCACGTAGATTGCCCCAACTAGCGTGAACCACGTAACTGCAACATCCTGGATGCAATGAGTCACTGCGTGGGGTTGATGCTGGCAAATATTCGAGATTCACACCGTTAGACATGTGGTGCCAGAGGTTGAGAGGCCGCGAGGAACGATGACGGGCAGCTCTGAGAAGCGCGCGTTGGGGCGGGGCCGAATCTTCGGATAGCGAAACATTCGCCCCGGTGTCCAAGGTGAGAGCGTGAGCCCTTCCACGAATAGGGAGACCGAGAACTCGCAGGAGGCATCCAGGGCAGCCCTCCAGTCGTCGAGTGTCGTCGCTGTCCCAGCCTCATTTTATCTTTCATCCCCGCCCGCCCTTTTGTCTTCCCTAATTATCCCTCTTCACTGTTGCCTCCTTCCTCTCCCTTCTGTCGCGTTGGCGTCCTCGTCCCCGTCGCTCTCCCGCTCCCGGTCCCTTCCTCCCCCTGTTCCGCATGCTGTTTTCTCCCTGTGCGTTCCTTGCTCCATCAACTGCGCCCCCACCCCATCCTTTTGTCTCTCCCTCTCTCTCTCTGTCTCTCTCTCTCTCTCTGTCTCTATACATCACCGTCGCCTTCTGGTCCTCTTTGCCCCGCTCCTGCTGCTCCTCCTCCTCCTCCTCCTCCTCCTCCTCCTCCTCCTCCTCCTCCTCCTCTTTCTCTTCCGCTTCGGGGTGATGGCTCTCACAAGGCAGCGTTGTCTTGACCGAAGGCGTAAGCGGTTACACGAAACAACGCAGTTTCACGAAACCTCTCAATTCAAGAAGCGACGCAGGCTTGGACAAGAAGCCGAATGCGTTTTTGCATGTTGCATGCGGCTGTGTTTTGCCTTGCTCACGTAGCGTCTGGTGCGAGGTGTAATCGACTTGATTCGATTGACATTCCTGCCCTTGTCCTTCCCTTTTGCATCGTAGTTCACCTCGCCCTTCTCCTGCTCCTTGTCCTTGTCCTCTTCCTCCTCCTCCTCCTCCTCCTCCTCCTACTCTTCTTGGACTGCTGAGTCCTACCAGTGGTGGCGCCAATCATATCTTGAAGACCCGGTGGCAAGGAGCTAGTCGCAGCGAGCCACGGCACCCTTGCCGACCAGCCCACGCGTCCCTCAGGACCTGGCATCGCTCGGACGTGTGCATTTTTGTTCTCGGCGAGGACCATCGAGGAGCATCCTTGACCCTTTCGCGAAAAAAAAACAACGCACGAAACCGAACAAAAGCACAGGGAATGGACGTCCGAGCGATGGCCCGTTGTGCCACTGGGAAGAGGCGGCGCCGCGCCGCCGCAGCCACCGCGGGCGCCCGGGCCCACGGCCTGGCGCCAGTGTCACGCCGTGCACCGTGCAGGCCTCGGGCACGGAGCACATCGCCGTGGCGGCACGCAGCGAAGCCAAGGGCTCCCTCGAGGGCGCGAAGTTATTCGCGCTTCGCGCTTCGCGGTCCTCGTTCCTTCTCCCCCTCCTCCTCGTCCTCCTATTCTCCTTTTGGGGGGCGGCGCGAGAGCGCGAAGTTATTCGCGCTTCGCGCTTCGCGCAGCGCGAAGCGCGAAGTTGGGAGCCCCAGGAAGCAGAGGCCAGGCCCTCAGCTCTTGGCACCGCTCGGACGTGTGCATTTTTCTGTTGGCGAGGACCATCGAGGAGCATCCTTGATCGTGTGGCGAAAAAACCACGCACGACACCAAGAAACCACAGGAAATGGACGTCCGAGCGATGGCCAGAGCTGGGGTCGGCGCGGCCCACTGCGATCAGGCGGGACAAGACTCGGGGAACAAACAATGACATCAACACAACAACTCGGAGGTCCGCGCAGATTCACCGGATCGGCGCTGGGGCCCCCTGGCGGCGCCGTGCGCTCCGTGCGCCAGGGAGGGGGGTCCAGCGCCGATCCAAGAATTCCGCGCGGACCTCCGAGTTATTTTTGTTTGTCATTGCGCCCGCGTTTTAACGGAAGGATTCCCAGCCTGTCGCACGCTCGCTCCTCTTTGTCGTCCCTCCTCTCCCCCTTCTCTCTCCATCTCGCCCCGTGCAGTAGCCTTTGGGCTCGAGCAGGCTGCACTTTTCACCCGGCGGGGCGCCCAGAACACATGAGTAGGGGGCCACACGCGAACCCTACCCCTACCCCCCACGATTTCTGAGGGGGAGGGTGGGGTTCACTTCGTCTGGGAGCTCCCGAGCGAAGTGAACCCCACCCTCCCCCTCGGAAATCGTGGGGGGTAGGGGTAGGGTTCGCATGTCGCCCCTTAATGAGGGCCCCCTCTCACCCCTCCCGTGATGGGGGCCTTCCAGTGGAAGCGCACGAAGGCCACGGGCCCGGGCCGCGACCCCGGGCTTGTTTGGATTTACGGGGGACGCCAACTACTCCAGATTTCGTGATAAAGGGAGGGGGGTCTCATTTCTGGGGGGGGTCTTTTCCAGGCTATCTTGGAGGGCCTGGGGGGTCTGGGGACGATGTTTTGGAGGGTTCTCCCACGGGGGAGGTCTGAAATGGCTTGTCTTGGAGGGTCCAGACCCCCTCCCTTGTATTACGAAATCTGGAGTGCTCTCCTGCACCAGTCATGGCCAGGCCGGACCCCGGGCCCAGGACGAGCCTGGGCAGGAGCGGCGTGAGTCTATATATGTGTCAATACTTGGTGCCTTCCCCGACATTTGTTGTCTTTGCTTCTGTCGACCATCTCACGTGGTCACACACGCAGTGCCGCTTTGGTCGGCCTTTTGAACGCCGACTTGGAAGTTCAGCGCGCGCTCTAGAAAGGTAGGCGCACGCCCCATGCTTGCTCGTGGACGTCTACGCATGGAAGACTGCTCTTGCACGAGCGTGGCTGTGCGACATGGTGGGGGCCTCCTATGCGCTCACCGGTGCAACCCTGCCAACCTCAGACATAGGGCGGACGATGGTTTTTTTCTTTCCTGCCATCGTGGTCCTCGCACCCCCTCAGGGCCCCAGGGGGCCAGCCCTGGGCCCCGGCAATCAATCAGAGGCCTCCGGAATTTTTATCCATCGGAGACCTCAAGGCCCAAGATGGCTCAAGCCCTTCCGGGGAGGCCCGGCGCCTTTCCGAAAAGCCTCCCCCCCGCCCCCCTTCCCAGCTGCATGCAGTGCCGCATCTGCTTCGCGCATGGCGTGGAGGGCCAGGCGGCCTCGGGCAGCGACGTGTGTGCTGAGCACCAGGCGCAGGCGGCCCAGCAGCCTGGCGCAGTCGCTGAGCCGGCCCGGGCTCCGCCTGCTCCCACTGGCTCCTGGACAGGCGCCCCTGCTGCGCACCGGAGCCGCGTGTGGACTCCTGGACGGGGGTCGCGTGCCGTCCTTGCGGAACGGGAGGAGGTGCTGGAGCGGGGAGTTGTCGGGTTGTCTTTGGATGAGGGCATGCTTGACGCGAGAGTCGCTGATGCTGGAGCTGGGGTAGCGCCTGCACTGCCTGGACCATCCGCCGCGGCGGGCGCGGTAGCAGTGCCCCCGCCTCCGGGTCTACCCGCAGATGCTGCCCAGGGATTCCGCTGCGCCGTCGAAGGGTGTGATGCTGCAGCCGGCGGCAGGCGCGTTCCAGCATCGATTCCAAGGGTTTCGCATGCTTGTTGAAGCCCACTAGCTGGGGCAACTGCCAGGTCAGCCACCGAACATATGCATGGCAACGTACAGTCTCGTAGCGTGCAGGATCTGTGGACGATCGTGCAGCACCAGATGCAACAATGGCGTTCATAGGTCATGCCTTGCGGGCGAAATGTTTGCTCCCCGGGAGGTCCCGCAGGCAGCCAGGGAGGTATCCGAGGAGGAGTTGCCCACGCTGGAGGAGGTGATGGCGGCGCCAATCCAGACACGAGAGAACATCGGCGCGGGTTTCTTCATCGTGGAACGCGAGTTCAACAAGTGTGGATCGAGGGTAATTACTCGCATGCTCTCGGGTCGACGCCTGGGATGTCGAGGGCACGGCGAATGTTACGCCGCAGCATGCCCAGGCCAGACGAGCGTGGACGGAGTGGCTCATGTTCCAGAAAACGGTCACCCCGGCACTGCGTGGAGGAAAGGCAAAGGAACGACGCAGCACGAACCGGGTGGTCAACATGGCCGCAAGGTGGGCGGCAGGGGAGCGTAGATTCCTCTGGGATGAGGTGGTGCAGCTTACTGGTCGCGCTCAACAACGGCCTCGGCGTACCCCCGACGATGAGCAATAGCAGGAGATGAAGAGGAAAGACGTCATCGCACTGGCTCGTCGGGGCTTTCCATGGAAGCCGTTCGACGCGCCACCAGTGAAGGCCTGGCGCCTAACACAGCGCAGAAGGAGGCCACCATGCGGTCGAAGTTCCCTCCGGCGCCAGACCACCAACGGCACTCCCGCCGCCCCCCCGCGCCACCAGCTAACGACATCACCGAAGAGGTGGTGGCGAAGGCCATCCACAGCTTCTCGAAGGGCGTCGCGCCAGGTCCATCAGGACACCGTCCCGACTTTTATAAGCAAGTTGTGGGCGAGAAGGGGACAGGCCAGGGTGCGCGATCCTCGCCGCGGTGTGCAATCTGCTTGCAGATGGCCGAGCCCCGAGGCACCTGCGGCCATTTTTGGGTGGAGCCTGGGGCACGGCCCTCAGGAAGACCGCGAAGGACGACACAGAAGATGCCCGACCGGTGTGCTCAGGCGAGGCCTTTCGGAGAGTGGACGGCAATGCCTTGCTGGCAGGGCGTGTTGCGAGGCCACCCGGAACCTTTGCAGCTGGCAGTCGGCGCGCGCGCTGGCGTTGAGGCCATGCCGCATTTGGCCCGGCAGTGGAAGCTGGAGTTCGGGCGTTGGTCAACAGCGATCCGGCGAATGCGCGCAACGAGTTGGACCGACACACGCTCTTGACTCGGATGCGAGAGGTGGCCCCTGGCATCGCGCGCTGGCTCGAGTACATCTACCCCACGGACGTCCCCGCGATGGTCTTCAACCGAGGGCGCACCATCGACAGCGAAAGCGGAGGACGGCAAGGATGTCCGTTGATCGGTGCCTGCTAGGTGCAGAGGGTGCTGTTCGAGTCATTGGGGCTTGTGCCAGCTCCGACGAGCACGGCAATCCAGCTGCCCTTTCTCGAGCCTCCTGCGCGCCTGGACATGGCCCCCGGCTTCGCGGACGGCGCCCTCGCTGCAGGCCCGCCCTCCGAAGTGCATCGGGCAATCGCGCACCTGGAAGCGGTGATGCCCGCAGTCGGCCTTCGCTTCTCGATGCTGCAGCTGGTCCCAGCCGCTGGGGCTCAGGGCGCGGTCGACGCCGCCCCGTTCGTGGAGCCGCTGTGTTCGGTTGTACA